TTACGGTAATTTAATTTTTTTAAGAGACTATAAGAGAATTTAAGAGAATATTGAGAATTTAAGTTTATTTATTTAAATAATGTATATTTATTATTTTTATTAATATAAATACATATATTTCAGCACAATTGCGATGATTACTTTTATCTAAAAGAATTCTTCAAATTATATATGTAAATAAAAAAAAGTAAAACCACAAATTTTTTAAGTTATAAATTTAATGTCATTTGCATTTATAAGGTTTATAAAATATGCGTAACTTAGTACGAATAAAAGTTTAGATACTTTTGAATATAGACATATATAAATAAAGAATAAGTAATATATTTAACATTATATACAATGAATTTAAAATTTTTTAAAATAAATATTTTGAAATTATTTGTGAATAAAGGCTCTCTGTCAGCTCTGCTGCGAGAGTAAGAGAGAAAAACCATTTAATTTGAATTTTCTGAATCTCTTACTCTTATGCGTTACCATGACAACCTGCAGTCAGTAGAGCTGTGCAAGTACCTTTAATATATAGCATTTGTGGCATATTATTATTTACAAAATTTAAAGAAGAATTTAATTGTTTTTGTATTCATTGCTTTTAAAATATTTCCATTTTACACTCTATGGTTTTGTCATTTTTTAAATCTTTAAATATATAGTCACTTAAATAAACAAAATAACAACTACTAAATAAAAACACAACGTCGGACAATCGAATTTACCACAGAGCAATGACAAAAGTGAGGTTATGTCACATTCTCTTAAATTCTCAGAGAATTTAATCGTCGGTTATATTCTCGGTAATATTCTCGTTCTCGGTAATATTCTCTGGGTAATATAACCGACTTAGAACACTACGAGGTAATATTTTTTTTCTTGCATCATTTTTAACCTGAAAACATATAAGATGGTCAAAAATATTTAATTTTAATTTTTGAAGAGGTTAGAATTTTTTTCTTCTGACCTATTGCATATTATTGCAAATCCATGCGAGAAGTTGTTTAGAATGGTAAAATATGCATGGAAAAAAAATTTCGTGAAAAAATATTAAAAACTGTAAGAAAGATCGATTTTTAATATTCAAATCTTTAAATTTTGCCGAAATTTCGGAAGTCCTGAACCTTTATTTTTTTTCCAATTTGATGCTCTGAGTCGAAAAAACATCGTTAAAATTGACGATTAGCTTATTTTCATGGTAAAAACTATAAAAATCATGCCTTTTTGCATTTATTTCGGTATATATAAAGTATACCATAAAAGCTTCGGACTATGATTTTTATGGAATTTACCACGAAAATGAGCTAAATATAAATTTTAACAATGTTTTTTTAATAGTAGCATCAAATTACGTAAATATACACAATTTGGAAAAAAGTTTAAGAATTACGGCTTTCGAAATTTCGGCAAAATTTAAAGATTTGAATATTAAAAATCGATCTTCTCTTACAGTTTTTAATATTTTTTAACGAAAATTTTTTTCCACGCATATTTTACCATTCTAAACAACTTCTCGCATGGATTTTCAATAATATGCAATAGGTCAGAAGGAAAAAATTCTAACCTCTTTAAAAATTAAATATTTTTGACCATCTTATATGTTTTCAGGTTAAAAATGATGCAAGAAAAAAAATATTACCTCCTTTAATAATTTTATTTTAAAGGGGTCAAAATTAAGGTGGGGTCTCCCCTTAAAATCATTGTAAGTTTATTATTTAAAGAATTATTTAAATATAAAGAAATAAAATAAATTCATAGAGAAAAGTGATTGACAGCTATACAATGGTATTGTTCTCGGGATACGTTAGACACGTTGGAGACTAGAGAGAGAAAATATAGTTCTGTCTCTACTCGAGGAATTTAAATATTATTGGAGCGACGAATATGACACGCTATGAATTTCCGTCAATAGAGAGAACGATAGCCTCGCGAAACATGAAACTGAAGTTACCAACGTTGATTCAACGAAAAACTTAAAAAAAAATTTTCTCAGGATACAAATTTTCCTTGTATATTTTTAACCCAAGTAAACCCTCTAAACCCTAAAATAAAAAAAACGTGGGAAAAGCAGTGATTTTTATTCTATTTTTTTAATTTTTTCCAAAAATCACGAAATTTTAAATAAATTCATAAATCCTCGCCTCGGTAGTCATTTTTTTCTTTTGATAATTGTTTATTTTAATATTAGACGCTATTTAAAAAAAATTTTATACGTTTCCAAATCGGGGAAAACAGTAATTTTGGTTTTTTTTGTCACGGATTTTTGGAAAATCCGAGCGTTTCAAGTAATTTTATAATTCCTCGCCTCGGTAGTTACTTTTTTCTTTTGATAATTGTTTATTTTATTATTACACATTATTTAAAAAAAATTTTAAGTAATTCCAAGTCGGGGAAAGCAGTGATTTTGAATTTTTTTGTGTCACGAATTTTCCAAAAATTCCGAAATTTCATTTAAATTCATAATTCCTCGCCTCGGTAGTCATTTTTTTCTTATAATAATTGTTTATTTTAACATTAGACGTTATTTTAAAAAAATTTCAAGTGATTCCAAGTCGGGGAAAGTAGTGATTTTTATTTTTTTTATCGAATTTTTTTCAAAAATAACGAAATTTTAATTAAATTAATAGTTCCTCGACCCGGTAGTCATTTTTTTCTTTTGATAATTGTTTATTTTAATATTAGACGCAATTTAAAAAAAATTTTGTACGTTTCCTTATCGGGGAAAACAGTAATTTTGGTTTTTTTTGTCACGGATTTTTGGAAAATCCGGAAATTTTAAGTAATTTAATAATTTCCCCGCCTCGGTAGTTAATTTTTTCTTTTGATAATTGTTTATGTTAATATTACACGTTATTTAAGAAAAATTTTAAGTAATTCCAAGTCGGGGAAAGCAGTGATTTTGAATTTTTTTTGTGTCACGAATTTTCCAAAAATTCCGAAATTTCATTTAAATTCATAATTCCTCGCCTCAGTAGTCACTTTTTTCTTTTGATAATTGTTTATTTTGACATTAGACGTTATTTTAAAAAAATTTCAAGTGATTCCAAGTCGGGGAAAGCAGTGATATTTATTTTTTTTGTCGAATTTTTTCCAAAAATCCTGGAATTTTAATAAAAAATTCAAAATCACTGCTTTCCCCGACTTGGAACTACTTGGAATTTTTTTTAAATGGCACACGACATTAGAATAAACAATTATCAAAAGAAAAAAATGACTACCGAGGCGAGGAATTATGAATTTAATTAAAATTTCGTGATTTTTGGAAAAAATTTGCCAAAAAAAAATAAAAATCACTACTTTCCCCGACTTGGAATAACTTGAAGTTTTTTTTAAATGGCACTCGACATTAGAATAAACAATTATCAAAAGAAAAAAATGACTACCGAGGCGAGGAATAAGAATTTAATTAAAATTTCGTGATTTTTGGAAAAAATTTGCCAAAAAAAAATAAAAATCACTTTTTTACCCACGTTTTTTTTATTTTAGGGTTTGGAGAGTTTACTTGGGTTAAAAATATACAAGAAAAATTTATATCCTTAGAAAATTTTTATTTAAGTTTTTCGTTGAATCAACGTTGATAACTTCAGATTCATCGCGAAACGGAAGTCACGCGGATTTTTCCTATTAACCGGAAAGAAATAAGGACGGGTAGAAGGTTCTAGAAGGTTCGGTAGCGTCCTTTGCAGGGTATATAAATAGCGAAATCAAAGGCTTCGCTCTCTCATTTCTATTCTGACACCTGAAAGGGTAAGCATTAACACTTATTATACAAAAACACTTAATACTTGTAATATTCAGGAGTTTGTTGTTTTTCAACTTCCAACCTGTTATTATAAGTTATAATTATTACAATTACAAATATAATATTATAATCTGGAGATATTCAGGAGTTCGTTGTTTTTCAACTTCCAACCTGTTATAGAAAGTTATAATTATTAACATTTAACACAAATACACTACAAATCGTAAAAATTATACAAGAATTTGTTGTTTTACAACTAATATCTTGTTAATTACAAAATTATCTTCAAAGTCAAGCCCTGGAATTAAAATTTGAGGAGCTCGTTGAATTCTTTTTAACTTTCAACCTCAGTTTTGATTTCTAAAAGGGTAACAAAAGCAAATCGTAAGTTTATTGAATATTCTTATGAGCTGTGTTCATATAGTAATAGGCTATATCGATGTGGCAGTTTGAAAGATTCAATAAATATTGATCCCAGACCACCAAAATTATTATTTATAATAGGAAATAATTAATACATTTGTATTAATTATTTAGTCAATTTTTCAGAGAAATAAATAAATTTCTTTAAGTAAATCAAAGTAATATTGAGCATTTTTCGATATTATAATTTATAATATCTAAAATAAATCAATAATTGCATAATTTATATTTATGAAGAATATTTATTTGGTTAGAAAATAGTTAATTTAGGAAAAAGGGAAAACTTGACCTTATAATTTGTAGGCAGGATTTATAAAATTTTATTATTAAATTTTATTTAATTTTTGTTTATAGATTTGTCAAATTTGGAAAATTTACATATTGTAATTTTTGAAGTTAATAAGTGAAAAGGAAATACATTCAGAGGTGAATGAACTTTATTATTTATTTTGTTTTGTTGATATTGAGTCAATTTATATAGAACATAGCAACCGAGCTTACAAAATAATTTATATATAAAAACTATATCATAAGAAAAGATTTCTTAATAGTTAAAAAATTGTGTTAATTATTATAATTTAACTTTAATTTATTAATTTATTATTTTATATATTTATCCTACGAACAGAAGATAAAAATTGTCTTATTTAGTAGTGGATAAATTAGAAAGAATAAAAAGCTGAATTACCGAATAATTATTGGAGCAGATTCCTCTAATTTGGTTACAAAGCGACAAATTTTCTCAAAAATAAAATATAATATTAATTTAGAGAGAAGTTTAAATTACATAATTTCATTCAAAAAATTCTTTTACTATATGTTGTCAAAACAAGTTCTTATCAGTTGATATAGTTTGTCGCGTACCTCATTGTTAGAGGATCTTTAAATTTGAGAACAATGTCCTTTTAAATTTAATAATAACATTCTTTCTATTATATCATTCATATGATATAAGAATGAGAATTATCGAATACGTATGTGTGAGATAGTTTTCATGTTTTGAAACACGTGGGTTACAGAATATCACCGTGCAGTGGACTATTTAATCAAAATAAAGGAAAAATATATAGATATACACTTCCCTCGGTCTGTTAACTAATATACTCATGTTTCAGTTTAAGTGTATTTATTGTGGAGAAGCGCGAGTAGCAGATAATTTTCGTTCTTTTCATAGGTGAGTAACTTCTTTCATAATATAAACATAGGTTATGTTGACAAGTACGGAGAATTTTTATTTCATTGAAATATAATGTAAGGTATTTAATTATTATTTAAAGAATTGTATATTTAATGTTTACCAGATTTCCATTAAATGATGTTGAATTGTTGGAAAAATGGATTAAAAATATAAATTAGGGCCATATTTCAAACCTGGCAAGTTGTCACGATTGTGTTCGGATCATTTTGAGGAAACATGTTTTTCTAAAGATACTAAACGCAGTTTACTACCAAAAAGCGTTCCTTCAAAATTTGGAATTTATAAATCCTGTTGCACTTTTTGTCATGAAATAAAAGGAGCCAATAAAGGTAGATCTATGTTTTACTGATTTATGTTTTGTAAGATTATTACAATAAATCATATTTCTATTTTCGGAATTAATTTTAATTTACTCTTTCATTGAAAATGAGTTTCTAAGTACCGGAAAAAATTTGTAATAAAAAAGAAAATATTCAAAACAATTTTATTTTTACGCAATTTTTCAGGAGTTAGTTAATAATGTTTTTATTTTACAGTTTCAACAATATTTACAAGAGAAGAAATTTACGCCCACTCTAACTGAGCAAAGAAACCTATTGGAAAAAAATGTTGCTTGCAATAATGGATGAAAAAACATGTCACTGAATTCTACCTTTAAAAACCATAGAGTTATTAGAATAGAGTGCGCAAGCGACCAAAATGTTTCTTAGGCGCATAGACGGAGACAGCCATACGAAGAGAAGACCCCTTTCCTTTCTTTCTCTAATAACGCATGCGCGATAGTGAAACAGCTGATGCATCGAAACAACTGTTGCTTGCTTGCAATTATATTTTTCTTTTATTTACATGACAAATAAATAATTTAAAATAAATTTAAAATTAAAATAAAACATTTATAATATTTAAAACAATTTTTCATGCGATCTTTTAGACAAAAACCTAACCAAAAACTTTCATTCTTGCACATGCGCCAATAAACAAGGTAAGAAAAGGGGTCTACTTTCATGCTTTTGTCTCTTTCTATGCGCCTAAGAATGCCTCTCACGGTAAAAGGTATAACTCGCGCACTCTATTCTAATAACTCTATGTTAAAAACTTCTAAAAATTTTTATTGAATGCAAAATGATTAACTCGATGAATTTGTAATAATTTTTATGTATATTTATACAAAGTAGAATATTCACTTTAGTCTGATTTTTAAACAAATTTAAAAAAATCTCATTTTGAATTTTAAATTATACAAATTTATAAATTTCCTACATGAAAAATTATTCATAGTGGAAACATTTAAATCAATGATCTTTAAACTGTGAAAATTTCTTATAAATTTTGAAGCAATTTTTTTAATTGTACATATTGACAATACTACAAATTATTTTAATTGCTTAATTCTATATCTATATTTCATAACAAGATGTAGGTATTTATTTATGTGTAATAAATGTAAATTTTAAATAAATAGAATTGAATATTCACTTTCTTTAGGGCTATATGTGACGTTCCGCGGCAAAAGGGACCTTAGGTCCGAAAAAATTAATTTCGAGTTATGTATATTATTCAATATTTATTGAGTTGCTCTTTCACATACAAGCATCAAAAATAATTTTTACTTATAGATTTTTTTGTTATTAATGTTTAAAAATGAGCTTGTTGAGTGTTTACACGTGGTTGTTCAGAAAAGCAGCCCCTCTACTTTTCAATACAACTGCACTGGTCATCTACATACAATTTGTGCGCTTCGTGTAACGCGGACAAATATCAATGTGTAGTGAGTAGTGGGGCTGAATTCTAGTAGAACGTCTCCACCAATCAGAGACGCACTACTTCAATTGCCTTTCCTGCAGAATTCACTATTGGGAGCTAAGGTCCCTTTTGTCGCGGACAGTCACATATTACTTTTTATTACTTAAAATTAAAAATAAAATATTTAATTTTCTTATTAATCATTTTTTTAAATGAAATTATTTTTATAAAAACGTTTTAAGATAAACAATTTTTATACTTTCAAAAATTATTATTTTAAGAAAATTTTTTTTTTTAATTTTTTCTATTGACTTCACAAAAGATTTTTTGCCTTTTATATATTAAAATTATAATTAAACATTTTTCTATTTTTAAATTCATCCGCCAGAAAGTGACACTGAAAAAAAAAGTTCATTGAATCAAGTAAATGCATTTTCTTGACCTGATTTATTTGAAACAAACCCATATTTTCTTATTGGAAGAAATTTATTTTCTTGTGTCAAGTAATTTTGAGCATTGATCAAAGTTATTGAAATAAGAAAATATGGGTTTGACATAAGTAAATATCTTACTGTTTCAAACGAACTGTTTTACATGCGCCAAGTCTCGAAAAAGTATTGAATCAAGAATATCATGTTCTCACGTCAAGTAATTTACCTTGAGTCATTTGGTATCTTGAGTCAAATCATTTTTTTATTTCCTTTAAAGCAATTATTTATTTCATCCAACACCCATAGTCTTGAGCCAAGAAAATGGGAAGATTAATACAAGTTAATAATTGTTTCAACTCAATTAAAAATTATTTTGTTTCAAAGAAATATTAACCCCTTCAGTGTGTAGCTAAAATATAACAAAATGGTCCCAAAATGTGTAAGACCTTCTTGTAAATAAATTTTCATGACAATAGGTACTAAGGGGTTTTTGGGGTCGCTGATTACGATTCCGGTGTTAGTTTTCAAAAATTCAAAATGGCGGATCCAAAATGGCGGACACGATTTTTAAAAATTCATTGGATTCGCTTAAAAATCGTTACTCGGGGATTTTCGTGGTCGCTGATTACGAATCTGACATTAGTTTTTTAAAATTCAAAATGGCGGATCCAAAATGGCGGACACGATTTTGAAAAATTCATTGAATACGCTTAAAATTCGTTATTCGGGGGTTTTCGGGGTCGCTGATTACGAATCTGTTATTAGCTTTTCAAAGTTTAAATGGTAAGAATTATTAAAAGAATTTATCCACTTTTGAAATTTTTCAAAATTTTTGGCGACCATTTTGGATGAAAAATTATTTGTTTTTAAAATCTTACTTTAGATTCGTGATCAGCGACCCCAAAAACCCCCGAGTAAAAATTTTTAAAAGAATTTATCCACTTTTGAAATTTTTCAAAATTTTTGGCGGCCATTTTGGATGAAAAATGATTTATTTTGAAAATCTGACTTCAGAATCGTGATCAGCGACCCCAAAAACCCCCGAGTAAGAATTTCTAAAAGAATTTATCCACTTTTGAAATTTTTCAAAATTTTTGGCGGCCATTTTGGATGAAAAATGATTTATTTTGAAAATCTGACTTCAGAATCGTGATCAGCGACCCCAAAAACCCCCGAGTAAAAATTTTTGCGAATATACGTTAAGATGTTTTCTTGTTCGGGCCATGACGTGTATATGTCGTAGGCGAAAAGGAAAATCCGTCGTTTAGCTTAATGCCTAGGCTTTAAGCTAAACGCGGGCGAATAGGAAAATGTTCAAGTAAATGACAATTATTTTTTTAATCGCCTGAATTCGTTAGTCATTTCGCTTAATGCCTAGGCTTTAAGCTAAACGCCCAAAGAGCGCCAGACGAATAGAAAAATTTGTATCGATTGATCAAGAATAAACATTGTAATGAAATTTCAATTATTAATAATATTATATTGCAGGTATTTTATATTGAAAATCGTTTCTAAATTTTTGTTTATGAGTCTTTGTTTATTTTCTTTGCTTTTAAATATTCTTAGTTGAAACTACATTTTAAATTTAATTTTATAGAATATTCAAAATTATATTTAGTCTCAAACAGTTTCCTCCATTAACAATCGGTAATTGCGTAACTTTGGTGGTACCTGATGTTGATCGTGGCCCGTTAGATTTTTCTATGATTGAAGGCGTCGTAATAGACATTAAAAACGATGTTTACCAAATTGGTACAAAAAACGGCATCATTAAAGGTTGGTTTCCGCGAACTGATATATCGCAATCAGGTACTGAAATTCTAAAAATTGACGAAGTTTGTACAGATGTCACTCTGACTTTAAGAGAAGCTGCATCACATCAATCTATGTGCGGCGGACAAGGATTTAAAAAATGTTACTGTAAGGCGGCTAAAAATCAATATAAGACAAATAGGTGCTCTTACTTTAAATTAAAAATAATTTGCAGTTAGCAATGCCACCAAAGTTTAACTTGCTGCAATAAATAAATTGTTATTTTCTCCTTTTCAGTTGACTTCAATTAATTACAATAAATTATTGCAATTTTGTGAAAAATATTTTTGTCTTTAATTTGGATTTTTTCTATTATATTTCTAATTGAAATTTCATTACATTGTTTATTCTTGATCAATCGATACAAATTTTTCTATTCGCCTGGCGCTCTTTGGGCGTTTAGCTTAAAGCCTAGGCATTAAGCTAAATGACTAACGAATTCAGGCGATTAAAAAAATAATTGTCATTTACATGAAAATTTTCCTATTCGCCCGCGTTTAGCTTAAAGCCTAGGCATTAAGCTAAACGACGGATTTTCCTTTTCGCCTACGACATATACACGTCATCCACTGTTTGAGCCAGTTTTTTTCATGACGTGTATACACGTCATCCACAGTCAAGGGGTTAATTAATCTAAGCATTTCTTTTACTTGAAGCATTTCTATATTCTCATGTTTCAAAATCATTAATTTCTTGCGAGAATGTTATATTTTCTGGAATGAAATATTTTATTTATTCAATTCAATTAAGTGTAAGATCTTGAATTAAATCATTCTTTTGTTTCCTTTAAAAAAGTTTTTACTTAATTCAACGCTCATATAATCCTGATTCAAGAAAATACGAAGGTTAATATAAGTAAATATTTGTTTCAAGTTGATTAAAAATTATATTCAATTAATCCCATATTTATTTGAAGAAAGAAATTCATTTTCTTGTGTCAAGTAATTATTAGCATTGAACAGAATTCTTGAATTAACAATTTAGTATTTGGCAGAACTCAATATGTAATTATTTCAACCAAATATTTTACTTTTCCGAAGTACCAAAAAGTATTGAATCTAGAATATCATGTTCTTAAGCGAAATAATAAAGTATTGTCTGGAGAATTCATGTTTCTTGAATCGAATCATTTTATTTTTTTGCTTTGAAACTTTTTTTTACTTAACACAATGCCGGTGTTCTTGATCCAAGAAAATATTTTTCTTCAAATGTATATGCAACTTAAATATCAGTTTTTGAAAACTGTCCATTGAGGCTAGGATGGCATAGTGGTAGCGTGACGGCTTCTGGTGCGTGCAACCCGAGTTCAATTCCTCCGACCGTGGAAAATTTTCTTTCAAGGTATATTTGTTGTATTTGTGTTAAGTAATAATTAAATGTGAATATATATGTAAAATAACAATTATTTAATTATTTAAATAAAAAATATAAATGTTAATTAATTAAATAATAAAAATGTTTGACCTAAGTATTAGAAAAGATGGGATGGTGGTAAGGGGGGGGGGTAATTTAAGTAAATAATTTACTTGTATTGAGAAAGTATTTTTTTGATTGAAATATATAAATTTTCTCAAATCAAGAAAATATTTTCTTGGACAGAGAACATACTTTCTTGATTTGATACATAAATGATTTTGAATTAATATATTCTGCATTTCTTACATGCTACTTAACTTCTTCGTCGAATTCCATATTTTCTTGGATCAAGAATATCTGTTCTTCTCACAAAATAAATGTTCTCTTCATTTAAATCTTGAATTACTTGAACGAACGTTACAAAAAATTGAATAAATCAAATAAAATAATTCAATTAACTATATATATATATTCTTAGAACAAGAAAATATTTTATTCATTTAATACATTTCATACTTCGTATAAGAAGACTAACTTCTTGGTCGAATTCCATATTTTCTTTTATCAAGAATATATGTTCTTCTCCCAAATATCCTATGTCAAGAAAATCGTTTTCTTGAATCAATACTTTAATAGTCTTGGCCGTATTCAATCCCACGATTTGCTTCAACCAAGAAAAATTTTCTTGGTTCAATACTTTTTTTTTCAGTGGAGAAACTGACCTCCAATGGCGGTCAACTTCCGGCCTTCTATTCGTCGCAAGATTGAAACGGACGAAACAGGGGTATACACTATCCAGTAGTATATATATGTATATATAACAGTGGATATTCTGTAGGTGAAATAACTATTCGGTGCAATTCTTTATTATGACATTTATAAGTTAAATTTATTTATAAGTTAAATAATAAATTAG